AGTTACATTGGCACCTTTATAGAGCATCTGGTTAGAGTTCCGGCCTCTATTGCCCAGTTACTTATATAGAGCATCGGTTTAGAGTTCCGGCCTCTATTGCTCAGATACTTATATAGAGCATCCGGTTTAAGGTCCGGCCTCTATTGCTCAGATACCTATATAGAGCATCCGGTTAGAGTTCTGACCTCTTATACTTGTTACTTGTGATTGGTTACTTAGGTACTTTTGGTGAGCATCCGGTTCGAGGTCCGGCCTCCGTACTGTCAGATTCTACTAATTAGGGTTGAGGTTCTGGTTCGATGTTCTTCGTTCATGGGTTCTTTTATGCAATTCTCTTTAGTTATAGTTATTCTGTGTACTCGTCGGGCTTATGGGGGTCCGTTCGGGTTTTTATTTAACTTGCGCACGAGTGTACCTTCTGCGCTTATGGGGGTCCAGTTAAGTGTAGTTAGCTTGTAGATTACTTTAGTTAGTTCTTTGTACACTCGTGTGCATTCCATTGTTAGTTAGATTTTAGTTCTTGACTTCGGTTTGTGTTATTCCTTCTTTTCATATTGCCTTTACTTTTCAAGTTCAGTCGGCCTATGCTGCCTACTGGGTACCGGTTGTTTTGGTACTCATGCTACGCTCTGCATCTATTTCGTGATGCAGGTCCGGGCACTAGTAGCCAGCGTTGATCGAGCTTGGAGCAGACTGATCCGGAGACGGGAGTGAGCACACGACGTTTTGTACTATTTCAGTCTCCATCTGTATATATAGACTTGTCTTTTACCTTTTGAGACAGTCCAGTCTCTGTTGTCCACTTTTGGGACTTGTACTCATTTTGTTAGTAGCTCTGTACTAGTGACTTCCAGGTTCTGGGAGGGATCTTTATTTGTATATATGTTTTTGGTTTGCTTCCGCCTGTTTATATTGTTATTTGCCTACGCTTGTTTAGTTTCTACCCTCAGACCCATTACTTGTTGTTCCGGGTTACGGGTTGGCTTACCTACTGGTGGATTATAGTAGGTGTCATCATGACTTGAGAAATCGGGTCGTGACACTAGAGTTACAATACTAAATACTAAAGTGACTAGACTATATGTTAATTAGTCCCCTCAGAAAATACATATCACTGGAAACAGTGGTCGAGCTAGATCAAGATATGTGTATGTTGGCTGA